GGAAATTATTACTTTATAATAGCTTTACTACCCAATCACCCCACAATAAGTGCAAATGAATATAGAATTAAGGGTTTTCCCTTTCGTTTTCAAGTTATCACAAATTAGGGTTTTTACGCCTTTTCGTAGTGTGACTATTCGGTGCGGAGTGTGTATCAAATTTGGTGATTAAGAGTGAGTTTTAGATGTGATTAGAAGTGATAATAATAAATTAGTGAATTATAAGATAAAACCCTAGTATACGCGATTTAAGGAAAATCGGCTCGAACCGACGGGTATCGTTCACTACCGATTAAACACACCACTTGACCATCACTTTCTTACCATGAAACATCATTGAAATTAGTGCAAAATATCAGCCCCTTTCTTAGCTCATAGTGGCCGAAATTATTGACTAGAAACACACAAGGAAAAGAAAAAAATTTAAGAGTTAATCTCATGGCGCAAGTGGCGTCATCCAAAGGTTGTTGACCAACCAATTTCTTCCATATTTATCACCAAAAATCACTCACATTTCTCCTCATTTCAGCATTCCAGCCGTGAGCTTTGAGGGAGAGAGAGCAAGAGGAAGAAAACTCCATTTCATCCTTAATCCATTTGAGTGAGAAATCAAGGAAACTAAACCGATTAACTTCTCACTTAGGAGTTTAGGAAGCTTGGGGAGCTAAATTTTTCAAGGAGAGGTGAAGGATATCTCTTGCAAGCCTTTTCTTGAGGTATTATGGCTGTTCATCTTCCTCCTTTCCCTTAGTCTTGTTGAAGTTATGTAGTAACTTGTATTCTTGCCTTGTAATACCTAGTTAAGGGGTTTTGATGCTTGTGGTGCTGAAATTTTGAGTTAGGGTTTTGAATGGTTCACTTATATTTCTTGTTGTTTGGATAGTATATGGTGTATATAATCTTGTATAGGAAGTTGTAGTAGTGGTTTAAGCTAGAAAGGTGAAATTTATACTTTAAAATCACTGAATTCCAGATTTGGGTTTTCATCTTACCCTGTTCTGATCGGTTCTGTTTGGCCATGATGAAGGCCAAATTAGACTTAGCTCAAACCATGAAAGTTGTATAAAATGATGTTTTATAGCTGCCTACAAAATTTCAGCTCAATCCTAGCACTGTATCATGTGAAAAGACAAAAATACCCTAGACTGCCATAGGTAGAGCTCTGTGGACAGTTTTGACATTTCACCATTCTGGCAGCATTTTTTCACCTTGATCCGTATTGAATTAGCATTTGGCCAAAACATGAAAGTTGTAGCGCTATGTTTTACTTTCCAATGCCTCTGAAAACGCCTCAATCGGACTTTTGTAGCCTGACTTATTGTCAGTTGAACGCAGTGTTGTTAACCAGCCTGACGGTGAAATTCTGGTTCTATAAAACGATGAATTTGACTTGGATACACTATGAACTGGATTGAGTGGTCTTCATCAAAGTTGTAGCCCTTTGTCTTAGCTTCGAAATGGTATGAATTTCACCCCAATCCGGTAAGCATAACTTTGGTTGTGACCGATACGCTAAGAGACGTTGAAACTGTCTTTTACTTTTTGCCTTAAACCCTATTTCCGGTCATTTCTGTAGCATGGTTTGTAATTGTATGACGTTGAACCTATTGAACGGCTATTGTAATGAGACTATTTGCGTGTGATTTTGGGACTGATTGAGGAAAAGAATGAAGCCATAAATGGTTGGAAAATAGGTAAGTACAAAGGGTGTGCTGCCCAAAGTTGCACTCGAGGACTAGGTAAGGATTTGAGGACGAATACCACTTGAACCATCTAGGATATTTGCGTCTTCGTTTATCAAGGTATATGAGTTAGAATTCGGCCGAAACTTGTACTCTTGGAAAAATGAGATTTACGACTAATAGAAATACGTTTTCTCCATTTCTTCAACTCAAATGGTATTTCAAAGGTTTAAGAGCGAGCATGAATTTTTCGGAATTTGATAAGTATCTTGAATACTACTTAAACGAGTTGCATTTACTTGATTTTCTTGAAGCGAAACTCCTATGTTTCGAACTCTAGAGAGTTTTACATTCGCAAATGATATTTTATCGCAGATTTGGACTCCAACCAAGTAGTTGGACCTGAACGTGACTTTTGAGAGGCACTAGACCTTTGGTGAGTGCTTCCAAATACCTGATTGAACTAGATACTTGTTTTCAATACTTGACCCATGTGATTTAATGATATGTAATTTGTTTGATCGAGCAAGAGTGTACTTTATCGCACTTGCCCTAATATGATATATACCTATTTATTGTTGCAATGGATTTGATATATTTGTGTATAAGGTGCGCACTTCCTGGAATTCCAGAAACCCTGTGGCGAGTTACTCGAGTCGAGCCGGCAAGGGCTTGGTCGATTGGGTAATGAACCCTGGGTCTTTTGTTTTGTCGAGTGGAGTGATATCTCCTCGACTAATTGGTATACTCGAGTATTACCACCAGTGTTTATTGAGGATTTTGGGCCCAGTAGGGGGTTTGGATGGTGGACGGAGAGTAGTTTAAGTGGTGCTCTACTGGATTGGTTATTTACTTGAAAGTTTCTGAGTGCCAACTATTACTTGATCAAGCTCTAGTGATGCAATGGGAATCTGGTTCCTGAGAGCCATCCGTATCTTTATACTTTGGAATGATTAGTACTTATCATGTTATTGTTTCGTTTTAAAAGAAAACTTTACACTCGCTCATTTTGAGATTTGCTACTTGAAGTGTTATTGCTCATTTTTATAAACTTTTCATGCCCATTACTTTGCTACTGTCGCGCCCCACTTTTTGAGTGTGTGAAAGTAGTGTGTATGTGAACGTGTGTGAATAATGAAAATAAAAGGCCGGGGGATTGTGAAATGCGACGGTTTGGCCAAATAAAGTTCAAAAAGGATTTTTGAATGGAAAATGGAGTCGCCACTTGGTATAGAGTTAGGGTGTACCAAGTCACCCAAAAAGTGATTTTTTGGAAAGAAAAGTAAACAAACCCTTTTTGAAGAATTTTTAGGTCTACGTAACCAAAGCAAGGGATCGGGGGTCACATTTGATAAGGGAGAAGGCAAAGGCAAAGCCTAAGGCACTCCCTTACCCTAGCCAAAGCTAGTTGCGTGACTTAGCCCTTTTTCCTAATTCTTCTACCCAAAGTATGTTTTGCATGTTGGATACGTCTAATGGATGCGAAAAAAAATGCAATCCTAAATCTAAAATGTCTCTTATGAGGCTTTTTGGTCCCAATCACATGAGTTGTGATGGCCAATAAGGAAAACTCTCATAGAGGTCACGGGTAATGCAAATGAAGACCCAAATATGAATGCAAGTGTGAAAATGTAAGAGGAATGCAAAAATAAAATAAAAATACAAATGTAAGAAAAGTGTGCAAATGTAAGAAAAGTGCATGTGTGCAAATGTAAGAGAATATGCATGTGTGCAAATTGAGAAAATGAAGGTGTTTGTGTGCAAGTGGATGAAAATATGGTATAAATAGTAGTAAACGCATATAAGTGCAATTGGGTGCAATTTGTGAGGTAGAAAATAAATGAGTGATAGGGAGAGAAGAGAAATGTGAACATGGCATGTGGAGTGAGAAAAATATAAGTAGTGAGAAAATGTGGATAAAGAAAGTGAGGAAGTGATATGATAAAAATGAGAGTGTATGAACCTAGAGGAATGCATCAAGTCGGGTACAGGAATGACTCCTAACTTCATGATTTTAATTTTCCCTTTGATTAGAAGGAAGAACTAGCATGCTAAGGCTATTTTGTAGCCACACTCGCTCGTTTCCCTTACCTAAAGGGGACTCTCAAGCAAATGTACCCTATAGCTAGCATGAGGATGCAAAAACCTAAAATGAAGGGGAAAGGATTGGAGGAGCATGCCAAATGCTAGAAAACTAAGAAAAATGTATGAAATGTAGTGAAACATGCAAGTATGTACTAACGAGAGGGGACAACCTATTGGGTCTAGCATTGGACTAGCTCTTTTCTAACGCTCTCTCACAAGCATTGGACTTGTAAGAGCTCGAGGGGACAACCATGACCAGTGTTGGACTAGCCACGGTGACGCCACACATCCATCACATTCCTCTATGACTATAGAAAGCAAGTAGACATGCCAATCACCTATAAACACGTAGCACATAACATTTAGCATGCTCGACTAAATGCAAAAGCCTAATAAAGCAAATTAGCACGTAGCAACAAGCATGCAAATCACACTAATGAACCTATTACATTGGCTAACTAAAACAAATGGGGAAGGGGAAAAGTGAAAAAATGCTCTCCAAGCCCTAACTATTACAAGCCAAGAGGTGTACACATACCCCATAAAGAATAACTTAATAAAAACAAAAGCGAATGAATAAATGAAAGGAATTAAGGAAAAGCAAGGAAAGCAAAGTAGACATGCAATTCTCACTTAGCACCACTACAAGAATTTTGGTCATCAGTGATAACTACTTTTCGTCACAAAAAATCAAAAAGTCGTCACTGATGACCATTATTGACAACATTTCAGTTGTCGCAGGGTCGTCACTGAATCTCCGTCGGTAAAAGTATACAGTGACGACTTTAAAGTCGTCAGTAAATAGAAGCTTTTTTATGACAATCTATGTCGTCAATAAAAGATGAAAGTATACAGTGACGACTTTAGAGTTATCAATGAATGAAACTTTTTTATGACAACATATGTCATCAATAAAAGCTATAAATCTAGTGATGACATCTTCTCTTGTCAGTGATGCATGAAGGAACGGTAGTGAGGGTATAGGAGAATTAGTGACAACTTTGTTGTCAATAAACCCCTGATCAACTGTGACAACAATCCCTTATCAATAGACAATTTTGATTGAGTGACAATAAAAATTGTCAATAAAGACATCCTGCCTAGAAAAATACTACTCATTTACAACACCTTACATATGATTTTCCTACTACAATAATATCTAAAAAATAAAAACATCAGCAATGTTTAATAAATAACAAACATAGACACCCGTTACAATAGAAAATGCCAGAATAACATATTAAATATTCAAATGTCATAAATAAGTGCAACATCATAGTACAAATAGTTTCATAAGTTTCAGTAGAACAAATACTACTCATATAAGTCAAGGCTGCACTTAAAAACATATTCCAAGTCCCAAAACATTTCCTGCGCTTCCGAAACATTTTCTAAACTTAAGACAGCACTATAACCACACTTTTTGAGCCGACATGTAAGCCGTACTGCTAATCTTCTTCGAAACCTCCAAAATGAGCAATATATCTGCAATAATGTAGTAAAGTTATTAGTAGATGATAGAAAAATTTAAAACAAGAAAAATTAATTAAGGAGTCACCAAAAAATAAAGTGAATCATTGGTTTAAGCCTCATCTAGATAGTGACTGTATAAATAGTAGAAAAAGAGACATTATATGGACAGTTTGGAAAAAAAGTTTTCCTTTGCTTTTATCTGCTGGGGCGAATTGTAATCTGCAGATTGTTTTTGTATTTCTTGCATAAAGCTTTATAAGATCTAACTTATGTGGCACTGTGGAATGAAGCAGCAGAATGTACTAAAAGTTCTGTAATAGCCCAACGTGCATGTCAGGCTTAATGCCAATGAATAAATGTATACAATGAATAAATGTACATCTTTGAATATCAAATCTCAAATAAGTCAATAACTAATATGTAAAATTATGACTCCTTATTTGACATAATAAGGAAATAAAAATACAACATAATAAGGATGAAATTTGAATTTATTATGTTCTGGATTGTAAGTGTTATGTTACACCATTAAATGATGCATAGAAGACCTTGAAAGCAAGCTGCTTTTGCCATAATGGGCTTCCGCAAGTAGTGGATTCTTAAAAATTACTTTCCAAAAACTTGCTTGTTATCAAAATGCCCGTACTCTTTCCAGGAAGCACTTTCAAATGGATTACAGAGCACCCCCACTGTGCCCACCGCTACATTAAAGTCTACTAGAGGATGGAAGTTTAATAACATTCAATAAGAGCCAAGGATTATATGGACAGAATTATTCCACTTCTTTGTTTTAATATTTAGATGCCAAAGGACAGCAACATTGTAATTCAGGTGACAAAAGCAAAATAGTCTCTAATTGCTAAATAAACAACAAAAGTAACAAGCATTCACTAATCTGATACCACTGTAATGAATGCAGCAATTGCAGCAGAAATGGAGTGATAAGGGGGAGAGAAACTAGACTTGAGGAAGAAGAAAGAGAGATATTATTCAAAATGATTTTTCCATGTTGCCCAATCCGGATTTCTGCATTCTTATACATCTCAAGAATAACAAAATAACTACTTGATTGTTGACTCAGCATAACAGTCTAACTAACAAGGAAGATTCCCTCTAACTACTTGAAGGAAATACATTTTGCATGTACTATACTGGTATTCTTCAAGTGAAATACTATACTGGAAATACATTAATTCTTCAAGTTGTAACTGACAATCCAGTGCAAAGAGACCAAACAGTACTATACTTGTATTAAAGGCTAGACGGACACAAATTAATGGAAGGGGAGAAGATGGAGAAGGGGAGAGTATGTGTAACAGGTGGAACTGGATTTTTGGCATCATGGTTGATCAAAAGGCTTCTTCAAGATGGTTATTCTGTCAACGCTACAATTAGGTCCTCTTCAGGTTCATGTTTGCTAATTTACTAGTAATTAGTTCTCTACTTGAATTACTTTACCATTTCCGTCTGCAACTTTACATATCATCAGAACAACAGTTTTTGGCAACTAAGTAGGAGCTAATTTCAGAAACGAAGGGTCTGAGACAGAACAACAAATTGTCTGCACCATATTTCTAACAAGAAATCAGAAGCTTTGGTCAGCAGAGACAAAGGGAATGAAGAAGACAGTGCCATGATAAAATTCAACAAGGAAAGAAAGGATTTTCCAGAGTAAAGGCGGTAATTAGGAGCCATCAAAGTTTCTGTCTGAGCTTTAAAGCCTAAATGTAGAGGCTAGACACTAAGATCAAATTGTAGATGGTAAAATGGCTCATGTTCCAGTGTTTCCTTGTTTCCATAGAATGGTTTTGAGCTTGCTCTTTAGAACCCAGTCATCAGTTGTTTGGGTTATTTTTCCCACTTATTAAAGATCCTTCAGAATTCAGAACTGAAAAAAAAAGTATCATCTAGACAATAACTAAATAAGAGCAAAGTAAGAGATAAAGCACATAGAACTTGAGAACTCAAGAAACACTTCTTTTATTTTTACTATGATATTAAAAACTCAAGAAACAATTGCAGAAAAACCATTGCAGAAGCGCAGGACAACCATACGCACTACTGAACAACATGGATAAGTAAGGAACCTCAACAAACTTCATACACCAATTCTTTCCAAAACTACTGGACACTTATGAATGACAGTTTATATGATTTTTTAAAGGGAAAATTGTTGCCCAGTAGTTTGCTAAGGATGCAGAACAAAACCAATGCATAGGCTGATAACCTATTTCCCATTTCCTCTGCCACATCGCCAATGAGGTATTTAAAGAAGCGAAGGAAAATCCCAATAGTTAAAACGGCTACAAGTCCTAACCAGCAGACTGGCATCTCAGATCATACTAATGAAAACGCAATGCGACAGTACATTTCATTATCAAAGAACAGACGTTAATCAGCTCAACAAACCCATTGGACAGACTTCAATGACGCTTAAAAGAAAAAATCAACAGGGAAACGGTGAATGAGAGGGCATACTATTTCCAGTTGGGAGGGAGCTTCTTGGTCTTTTTGTAGTAACGAGTGAGGCGGTGAATCCTGCGCTCCACCAGAATCAATCTGAACTTGGAATCCTTGTCCTTCCTGTTCCTCTCCAAATGCTTCCTGATTGCGATGGCCTTCTTGATCAGATGGTATAGATCCTCTGGAATCTCAAGTGCAAACCCTGCCCTCCGAACCAGAAAAAATCACTAATATTGTTATAAAAAATTTAAACAAAATAATGCGAATGCAATAAGAAAAATGATATTGAATTGGCGGTCTTTGAGATGAAGTTGGCGCAGAATGTGGGGAATTTTTCTCACTATGGACGGGAACACTAAGCTTTTGGCCTAATGCACAATAATTTGCAATACTGCATATGAAATAAAACACACCTTCCTCCATCAATGCAACACTTGCCAGGCCATCCCAGAAAACCTTAAAGGGATTGTCTACACTGCAACTCTCGTACTCTCTTCTTGACATTTCCATCACATTATGAAGCCCTGAATCAAAGTCAAAACCTGCATAACCCAAAAAAAAAGAAAAACAGAAACAAAAAAAGCCGCGTATCAGTGCCAAGATTAAAGTGTTGTAACCTAAAATTGAAATGATTGATTCTCGAATCTCAATCTGTACAAGTGACAAGTCATTGGATTTACAAAGAGTGTCTCCTGTCTGGAAAAAGTGGGAAGAAGACCAGTTAGTATAGAAGTCATTGGTTGTGGGGATGGACCAAAAGGAGTCTCCCACAATGTATTCTAGGCCAAAAGACTGAATCAACAGTGAAGGAAGAATGATGAATGCTGGTGAAATTAAAAGGCGGGTAGGCATTTTTCGATCTTGGATAAGAATTAAATATACCGTGAGCCTTGAGGATCCCAAATTCCCACTCCACCCAGCACCACTTAACCCACTATTTCTCTCACCAGCAGCCACTCATAGCAACATCATATACCCAATTCCACTCCCTCCACCACCATCCAATTATTGGGGAAAAAATTTAGGGCAAATTAATTGGGAAAAAAATTAGGGAAACAAGGTTTGCAAATTAGTGCAAACCCTGCCCTCCGAACCAGAAAAACTCCTTCCTGAGCCTCTGGACATTGCCGGAGTCGTCGACCTTGTAGAACTAGAGGACGGCAGCCTTGGCCTTCTTCTTCTTGGGCTTGGTGTAGGGTTTTCTTCTTGCGCTTCTTGGAGCCACCACGAAGGCAGAGGAAGAGGTGGATGGTGGACTCCTTCTGGCTCCTTCCAGATGTTGTAGTCGGCTAGGGCACCACTGTTCTCCAGCTCCTTGCCGACGATGATGAGGCGCTACTGGTCCGGCTGCCGCCTCCACTGCTGCTCGGGATTTGGGAAACGAATAAAGGGGATTGAAAATAATGGGGTTGATTGAGGGATTGAATGTGTGAGGAGAACAGATGCGTCTGGATGTGGGGACTGGTCGACGGGGGAGTAAGAGTGGTTGCTTTTCTTAGTGTATGGTACCCGCACCACTTTTTTTCATTTTTAGTTTGAACAAATTTCGGGCACCGGTCAATCACGACGATTCAAGTCAATTTTAGGTTCAATTTTTATTTAAATTTACTAATGTATTTCTAATCACTACTCCTTAATGTATTTATTAAAAAATTATAATGGATGAAAATTTTTTTGCTAAATTCAAAGAACTTGTAAATGTTCTCTTTCTCAAGTTATAATAGTTTATAGTTGTTCTAACTAGAAACTTTCATTAATTTTTTCTAGTTAAAAACGTAGATTTATGGGTAATTTCTTTCTTTTTTTTTGCTTTCACATATTTAATTTATGTTAAATACAAAACCTACCAGTTTTCCTTTCATAAAAATATTAGTGCAACACTTTTTGAATTTTACTTACAAACATTTATGTATTTAACATAAATTAAATGATTCAGAGTGAAATGCCCATAAAGAGCAGAATATTTGTTCATGTAATGGAGGAAACCCACAAGAGTTGGTACTTTATGAGCCATTTCTTTTTTTAAAAAAATTTAATTTATGTTGAAAAGATAACCTGCCAGTTTTCGTTTTGTAAGAAATCAGTGTAACACTTTTTGAATTTTACTTACAAACATTTATAAATTTATCATAAATTATATGTTTGAGAGTAAAATGGCCATAAAAAAGTTGGTACTTTGAATAGATAATGCTCATTTGCCCATAAACTACACTCTCTGAAGGCTATTTTGTTAATTACTTTGTAGTACTTTGTTATTCCTTTGCTAATACTACTTGGCATGTAGTACAAAGGATAAATCTGGCATAAATTTCTTATTCCATTGATAAAAAACCTGCCTGCCTTATAACTATTGTAATGAAAGATATATCTTTAGAGTTTATAACAAATTATTACTTAAGTTTGAGAAAATTATAAAATATTTATGCATAGTTTATCAAGATACCATTCGCAATTTCCTAATAAAAAAATAGGGGCTAAATTGTAAAAGTTAGGGTGCCATAATAGAAATAATAAAATTGGGGTATTACATATGGGGGTTAAATTGCAAAAGTTAGAGTGCCATAGTAGAATTAATGAAATTGGTGAATTACATATGGGGCTAAATTACAAAAGTTAGGGAGTAATAATAGAATTAAAGAAATCGGTGTACTACATATGGGGCTAAATTGTAAAAGTTAAGGTATCATAATGGAATTAATGGAATTTTTTACAACATTTGGGGCTAAATCGCAAAATTTAGGGTGGCACAGTAGAATTAATGAAAGTGACTTAGAAATAAGTACTTTAAACAGTGACGATTAATTCTTGTCACTAAATCCGAATCGGTAGAGTGACAGTGACGATATTAGAAGTTGTCACTATATAGATCATTTTAGTGACAACTTTTTCAAGGTCGTCACTGAAGACTTAGTTGTTTTGAGTAATTATGACAACTCTCCTTGTCGTCACTAAACAACCACGTTTTGTGACGACTTTTGTCGTCACTAAAAAATGTTGTCACTAATGACCATATTTCTTGCAGTGTAGTTTGTGACGAAAATAACGGGTCGTCACTAAACATTTAGTTGTTTGATGCAATTGTGACAACTTTAGGTGTTGCGACTAAAGAAGCTCCTTTTGTGACGACTTATTGTCATCACTACAAAATGTTGTCACTAATACCTTTTTTTTTAGTGATCAGTGACGACAACAAAAAGTCGTCAGTAAATAGGCCAAGCAATAGTGATGATGTTCTTAATGTTGTCACTATTGTGTGTTCTAAACACTCCCGCGCTCTTGCTCAATCTTGGCGGGAATTTACTAGTGGCGACTTAAAAAAGTCGTCACAAATAAGTTGGCTCCCATTAGAGGTTTGTGACGAGTTAGAAAGTCGTCAATAAAGGATCCACTTTTGTGACAACTTTTTTTCGTCACAGAGAAAAGTTGTCACTGATGACCAATTTTCTTGTAGTGCACGTTGGATCAAATAGGAGAAATGAAAATCAAGGAGATAGAGGTTACCTCCCTTGCAATTGGGCCCCAATGAATTGAAATCACTTATTTGCCCTAAAAAATACAAAGAAAAGGTCAAGGTACCAATTTATTTGGAAAAATTAAAGAGAGTAGGTAAACACAAGCTCACTTGGACACAAAGTTCTTAAACTCATGCATTAAGTACAATCTAAACAAAGCATGGTAATTAATTGAAGCAAACAAACAATTGAGTTGAAAGATTGAAGCTGCCAAGGACCAAATTGAGGACATTATTCAATTGGTTGGGTCATAGTAAAACAAAGGGAGACTTAGGGGGTCAAAGTGCAATTTTCAGAGAATTATTTCATGCAAATTCATGCAGGTATGTGAGAAATAATTTGCAACCAGAAATATTTCTGATACCAACTTTCTGCAGCCAAGAAATATCACCGTAACTTGCATTTCCACACACTGATTTCCACCTCAAGCAATCTTTTGATCAAAACTTCTCAACCAAACGTTAAAGCCTTAATCTAAACCAGCTAAATAGCAACATTCAGCATTCAATCCATACAAAAGTTAAAGTTAGATCATGCAAAAGGCAAGTTTTCCTCAAAAGCTGTTTTTCTTCATTACCGATTCTTTACCACAATTTTGCAGCTCATTTCATGCGGTTGGGTCCATATAGTAACTCTAACAACCTATTATCTTAACAGAATCCAAGGTTAAAACACTTCATTGGATAGGTGAAAGCAATAAAAAAAAATGACTCAAACATACACGGAGCAGCAAAAGATACCCGAGATTTCATGCATCAAGAAATGCTACAAGCATCCGTATCCCCATAACACAAGGGAATGTAGAATTGCAGCAGAGACGTGAAGATACTTACGGCAAACATGTCTACAGCCCACTATCATAGTAATTGAACATCAACAGACCCAAAACTTGAACAAAGAAAAAGGAAAGTCACGGCTGCCGCAAATTAAACTACTTGTTGCAGCCCAACATATATCACACATTACTACTTGGAACGGCAGCAAAAACATACATGGGATACCATGAAACAAACAAAACCCAGGAGGTGGCTTAAGCCATTTTTGGAAAAACTTTAACAGCCCCAAAAGATCGAATTTTTATTGTTGTAACCAAACCAGAAATCCAAACCTGTTGCAGCCGACCTTCATACACAAACATAACAGAAATATGATTCAAGCAAAACCCATGGACTCAAATCCTTTAACGACTGAACACTTTGATTGATACAACCCAATCATGAACATTACTTTTGAAGATCAAACGAGGAACCAGACCAAGAACATGCAGTGACATAAAATAAAAAAAAAACAGCTTTCTAAGCTTCTTGAATGGAGCAGCCTTGCTAAGCAGGAAAAGGCCGTGAATTCGCACCCAATCACAAACCCATATGACCTCATACTCTCACGCGAAATTTAACGTATCCTCATGTAAGAAAATCTGATCTAGCTACTATGAAATAAGCGGAACAACAACAGAAAGGAAAGAAAATAGGAAACAAATCCGACAACAATTTTTGGTAAGTATGATGTGATTCTGAGCTTAAATGAAATGGGATAAGATGAACTGCCTCACCTTTGATGCTTGAAAGAGACGAAATCACACGATATAGCGCGAAGGGGACAGACCCAAGTGCGAAAACTTGAAGATTAAAGCTTCCTGGAACCAACTTCACGGACTGACGAGGTAAGGATTTCGAGCCTCCATTTCAGCGTTCTTGGATACGCTTTCATGAGGATCTTCCTGAACGGGATTCCCTCTTCCGACTTCCTACTTGGTGCGGAAACAAAGATCTGCTCAGATGAAACAACCCGGAAGGAGATCTGTCGTGAAAGGTAGCCCCTTTTCTTTTTTTTCAGGTTTTCTGGAGAAACTTTTCTCCTTCTTTCTTTTCTGGTTCCCTCCCAAGCCTTTTCCACTCAGCCGTAGCTTTTTTCTCTTTCGAACTCTTTTCCCCAGTTTTCTTTTCGGTGTCTCTCCCTTACTCTCTACCCTAGCCGCCAGTCGGATTTCTCTCTTAGCCCTTTCTGGTTTTTCTTCACCAACCGCTACTAGACCCTCAGCTACCCACCAGATCCCTTCTTTCCGTTTCTTTCTCCTTTCGAAGCCTTTTTGCCAAAACCTAGCCGCTCTCTCTCTCTATTTTTCTCTAGCCGTCTCCCGCACTCTCTTTTTTCTTCCTCCTGACTGCGGTTTCTTCTCAGCTTTTTATATCAAGTTAGCAACCCTAAAACCCTCCGTTTAATGGCTACCAATCAATCTCATCTTAAGCCCTCTCCCTTGGCCATCCGATCTACCAGCAAATGGTATGGTTTTTACGCTGCTGCATGCGGCTCTTTTCCTTTTTTTTTTTTAAAGTAATTGTAACAAAATGATAATTAAGTAAAAACAACAATTTAAGTAACATCACATCAAAATACAAACTAAAAACAACAAAGTTGCCATTTTTCAATCTTTTTTCCTTCATTTTTCATTTTCATCTTTTTTCTTTTCTTTTTTCTCTCTTTTTTTTCAATCAAATTAGTAGATAAAATAAATGCTCGTAAACTAATTAAAATACAATAAGAGACACGAAACGAGAAACAACCAAAATAAACCTAAAATTGAAACAAAATAAATCTAAAATTAAACTAATTAAAATTAAAAAAATAAAATTCGAAACCAAAGATTTGGTGTCTACAGCTACGTGATACTGGCACTTTTAAATAATGGTTAACTTGCTATTTGGAAACTCATTGGGCTTTTAGCTCATTCCACGTCATTTGTTTTCCTTACAGGAGGTACGAGCGAGGCGTGAGATGTGAGATGTGTATAGACTAGTGTAGTCTAGTTTTTGAAATTTTGAATTTGTACTCACACTAGCACCCGACTAGGGTTGATTGTACTCGAATTGTAAACACTTGAAGTATTTTGCTATGTAGAAGTTTTGTATTTGGATTTGAGCATCAATGTATATCTTAAGTTGCAGTGGATGTGTTATTTATTTTCTATGGATGTACGTTATTTTTCTTGAGCTATGAATGAGTGAGTCTTGGCAAGAGTTGGGCAGGCGACCCGCCGAACCCTGGGGTATGCCCTAGGGAGAGGTGGGGCCGTCACAGGGAAACTTCAATATTGCACATGCATTTGTCATATTGACTATTGAATTAGAATATAAATTTAATGGTCAAAAGATTGGCACTTGGGTCTTAAGAATCGAAATTAATTTTAATTAATTTCATTTTAATATTTCTTCTTAACTAAATGGTTTACTTTTAGGGGTTATATTTAATGATACAACTCTTAAATATCCGTTAAGTATCCATTCATTTTAAAAGGTGCCTATTCATGAAGAAATATATTTCCAAAAGACATGACATTTCTTTTGAGGTATCTGAACATTATAAATAAGGATGTCAAAATATCAGAAAACTCACTTTTACTTCTAGTTTTACTATTCTTCTACTTCTTTCAAAATGATATTCTCTAAAACCGTTCTTGAGAGAATTTCTACATACTAGTGTGTGGAAATTCTGGTTGGCTTTGTTATTCCTGGAGGGAATTGCCGCAAATCCGATATTAGAATAGTGGGGGCAAATTTCCTTAAGGAAAGTGAATCTTCACGTCAAAGCTATTTTGTAGTTGTAGTTATTATTATTTCCTAACAGCTTGTTTGGTCTATAACAAGAAATTAGGTGAAGTTATATGCTTATGTCCATCTATTTTTTCATTAAACTTATGGTAAATCTAGTAAGATTAGTTTTAGTGGGACCAAAATATTGGTGGCTTTCATTCTTATGTTTCAGAAGTTGGAAAATGGGTATTAGGCAGAAGTGAATTAATTATTTGATTTGGATAGGTGGGCATGTTGTAGCTGACTTGTTTATGATTTTGTTGGTCTAATTCCCTATGAACAAAGTGTTATTTCCATCTATAAGTCTGGTGATTACATAGGCTCTATGCTTAGAGGTGATTAGCTGGTTTGACTTTGACATTATAAGGCTTGTATGGCAATGGGGATTTGATTCATTTGAATGTGATAATTTAAATACATACAAGGGTGTTCAATTTGGCAGCACTTGTGAGTTTTAGATGTTGTGATGAACTTAGTCCAACATTGATCATTTAAGTTGCTGATTGGTTCTAAACTCATTGATCATTCAATTTGCTAATTGGTTTGTGGCTAATTCAATGACTTAACAAATGATTGAATTTGATCTTAACTTTCTTTTTTGTATCATATTTGGGAACAACTGAAAGATATTGGAGGCTAAAAACGAACAAGAAAATATGGAGAGTGCCTGGGCCCTTCGACAAGTGCTTCAGCATTACCCATTATGTTAAGGTAAGTAGGTATCGATATCAGTCCACCTGATGTATCTTCCATCCCATGTGTTAGTCCGGAGGCCGCTAATTCTACCACTCCAATACAACTAGATAGCCAATTTTTTTTTAATATTGAGAATGAGGAAACTATAGGAGCTATGAGAAATGCTTTGTATGATATGAAAGCACCTATGGGAGCTGCAGGAGTTGGAAATAATGTAGAATTAGTAGACCTATCTGGGGGAGAGGATGAATTTCATATTTCTAAAAGAAGCAAGACATTCGAGGCTTGGGATGACTACAAGGTATACTATGAAAATGGTCATTACTATGCAATATGCTTGCATTGCAGTAAAAGATTATCTTGAGGAAAAACTAAACAGTCCACGATCATGTAGAGGCATTAGGATACTTGCCTAGCTAGAAAAGCAAAGATTGGAAAGGAATAGCAAACAAAGTTAAATTTCCAGCTTCTCGATTCTACTTTACAAGTAGTTCCACCCTTGCATTTAGGTAAAATTGGCATGGAAAAAATGTGGGAAACAATTGCACACTAGATTCTAATGCATGAACATCCCTTTAGCATATTAGGGGAAGAAGGATTCAACTTGATGATGAAATGGGTGATACTTGAGTAGACTAAGATCTCATGAGTTATGGGAAAAAATGATTGTATTCAAGTTTATGAGCTAGAGAAAAAGAAGCTAAGGAACCTCTTGATACGTCCCGATAAAGTCAGCC